ATCATGACGCGCGCTCAGGCCGGTGTTGATGTTCTGATAGAATCCCACCTCACAGATTGAAGCACTGATTAGAAGCCTGTAAGCGTAAGGGTGGTAATCTTCCAACAGAAGCTACAACAGGCTAAAGCGTTTGCTTTCTCACAGGTCTATACGCCTAATTTAGAGGGGGAGTAATGAATTCTCTCATTCTAACCGGCAATTTTAATGCGCATGTTGGAATACGCACCGAAAAGCGGAAAGGCTTGAAGAGCGCAAGAGTCTTGAAGGACAGGTCTGGAAATCCTCTTCCAGGAATAAGGACATTCTTCGGTGACGGAGAGAGGACTTTTAGGAGGAACTCATTAACCCCGAGCAACTACAGGAAGACTCACCCGTAGAGCAGCAGGGAACGAATATTATTATTTCTGTAGAAGAAATTACACAAGCGGTGACAAGCTTGAAAAGTAAAAAGGCCGCAGGAATTGATGAAATTCGCCAGGAATTGCCCAGATCATTAGGCGAACAAGGCATGCACTGAGTCACATGTTTGTGACACTGCAATGGCTAAAGGGAAGACACCAAAGGACTGGAGAACGAGGAACGTTGTACCCCTGTTCAAGAAGGGAGACCACAGGAAGTGCCCCAATTATCGGAGCATTGCCTTACTAAGCCTTTCAGAAAAAGTTTACACAAAGATGTTAGAAAGGAGACGCCGCGGAATAACTGACTCAAAGATACAAGAAGAACAGCGTGGTTTCCGGCTCGGACGAAACAAATCTAACCATATATTTGCCCTACGCCAGACTGTTAAAAAATCAAGGGACTTCGCCCTTCTGGTGTACATGTGATTTGTTAACTTAGAGAAAGCCTAGGAACAAATCCCGCGCAAGAGTCTGTGGGCATGCCTGTGAACATATGGCATCAATGGCCAGTTTTAACGGACCGTCCAATCACTATATGCTGATTGTAGAGGCTGCGTCAGAGTAACAGGCTCAAGTCGAATCCTTTCAGCTTTGGCACTGGTGTTTGCCATGGCAACGTTCTGCCGCCTCTCCTGCTTGTGTTGTACATGAATAGAATAGTCAGGCGCAACAAAGGCGAGGTAGAGACCTGACGGTTGCTGTTTGAAGACAACCGTGTTTTATTGCATCTTCTGAAACTGATCTTCAGTGCTCCTTAGAAACTTTCGCAGCTGAGTGCGACGTTGTCAGCATGCGTGTGAACGTATCTAAAACGAAAAGCCTAGTGCTTTCTCCTTCTCCTGCCGTTGCTTTCTTCAGCTAAACAGAGAGGCAGTGGAGAAAGTGGAGTAGTTCAGTACCTTGGTGTCGTGTTTATCTGGGATGGAAAATTTGAGGAACAGATAGACTGGCGGATTGGAGTAGCCAGTGGTGTTCTACGTGAATCAGCCTAAACAGCTGCAACTAAAGTAGAGCTGAGTCTGAAGACTAAGCTCCCGACATTCAAGTCGATCTTCAACCCCATGCTTACCTACGGTCATAGGTCATGGACAAAGTTTGAAAAACTTCGATTCTGGGTATAAGGCGCTGAAATGGGCTTTCGGAGACGTGTCGCTCGCCTTATGCGCTTGGACATGATCCAGGATACAGATAAACGCAACAGCCTTGGCTAACAGCTGCTGCTTCTTGAGAATGAAAAGTCACAGTTGCGATGGTTTTGGCATGTGTTGG